GTAAAACCAAATTTGACACTTCGAGAATTGAATTATCAAGCGGATAATTTTAAAAGCAATAGATATATTCCTGAATGAATTATATTTGAAGATAAAATCCGTGTATATTCTTGATAAAATTTACAATTGTAAAACCAAATTGAACTAATTCGAGACTATCGTGATTCTCATACGAATACAATGAAGATCACTGTTAAAGTAGATTTCTTCTTTTTTTTCATAAAATGTGAAATCGTTATATATAAATTATTATGTAGAATTGTATATATAAATACAATTTCCAAAATTCTAAATTTCAAGGAAGATTGAAATTTCGATAACTTGCGAAAATTTTTATTCTTCGATCTTCGTGAAACTTTGCTATTTTAATTACAAATATCACATTGGAACGCGTGATACAGAATATTTTTCCCACGAGTAATTCACTTATTTGTCCCACTATTATATTTCAATAACTTATCTCCTCGAAAGCGGCGTGTCGAATCGATAATTCGGCGTTAAATCGTGATTGACGATCGTGTTCGAGAATTCGAACAAAATTTTTCCGTCGATTCTGCTCCCCGGATCGAATTAATTACGCCGAAGATTAATCGAGATGCGGTGTTGCAACGCGACTTCGTACGCTTTGATGTATGATATAACTGTTGCCGCTTCTAAAACCCGTCTCTCGTTCCGTAAAAGTTAAACGATTTTCTGATGATCTTGGCGTAACGGTGTGCACAGTGTATCACCACGAACACTGTAATAGACACGTATTCAACTGTGATAAATGAAAGCGTGCGACCGATTTTACGTGTCGTACGATTAAAACAATTAAAAAAATAAAAGTATAGAAAAAAAAGTATATAAAAAAATAAAAATAGTAGAAAAGGAAAATTCGTTCGTTCGAACTTCGATCTTCCTTCCGATTTAAAATTTAGAATTTTGGAAAAAATCGATGAACAAAATGATTTCATATTTCATGAAAAAAAAAAAAAAAAAAAAAAAGAAGAAATCTACTTTAACCGTCGACAAATTTAATTTGCTTACGCCTGGATAATTCGCTTCGACATTTTCACACGCATAACACAGCTTTCGTCTCCTTTCACGGGCAATTTAATTTAATTTCGTTCGAAAACACCAAGGCGAATTTTTTTAAGGCGAATCACACACCGAATCGTATCAAAAGGCGGAATCAATCGTTCAGGTAGCGAATGTTGTCTCGGTGCCACGAGTGAAAATCATCGACTGACTCCTCGAGGGATATCGAGAATCTTTCGTGACATTGCTCAAGTGAAAGGTATCCAACACCCGGTGTTTGATACTGGCACTACTCTTTTGGCCCCGTGTATTATCCGGATCAACGATGTGCCGATCGATTGGCCCAAAAATCTCTCTATTATTATTATTATTATTATTATTATTAATATGTCTAGACTTGGCTCGTGAAATATATATATACATATATATATTTTGGCTACCGTTGGAACACAATTTGTTGTGGAAAGAGAGAAGTGATTATTTAGGCAAGAGAAGCTTCATCAAATTTCGGTTAAAATTTCTCAAATTTGTTAATTATTTGTTAAATTGCTCGTCGAGAATATTCGAGAAATTTCATCAAGATTAATATTACGAATCGAATTATTAAAAAATATAGATCTTCTATTTTTTGAAATGTTGAGCTTCGTTCGCGAGATAGAGATCTTTTTTTCAATATGAAAGAGAAGTGATTATTTACGAAAGAAGCTTTAAAACTCGGAAGAAAATTTGTTAATTACTTGTTAAATTGTTCGTCTACGAGAATATTTCAGAAATTTCATCCTTCGTCGAGATTAATATTCTACAATCGAATTAAAAAATTCTAAAAAATGTTAATCTTCGATTCTTCGAAACGAGGGGAAAAACTGTTAAGCTAAGCATAATCCTCGAAGTGGCGAGACAGAGACTTTTTTTTTTTCAAAAAGAAAAAGAAGTGGAAGAAGAAAATGAAAGAGAAATATTTACACGAAAGAAGCTTCAAAACTTAGGTTTACAAGAAAAAAATTTCAACAAACAAATTTGTCAATTACTTGTTAAATTGNCGAGAATATTCGAGAAATTTCATCCTTCGAAATTAATATTTTACAATCGAATTATTAAAAAATGTTAATCTTCGATTCTTCGAAATGTTGAGCTTCGTTCGCGAGACAGAGATTTTTTTTTCAAAACGAAAGAGAAGTGATTATTTACGAAAGAAGCTTCAAAACTCGGGAGAAAATTTCTTAAATTTGTTAATTACTTGTTAAATTGTTCATCGAGAATATTCGAAAAATTTCATCAAGATTAATATTACGAATCGAATTATTAAAAAATGTTAATTTTCTATTCTTCGAAATTTTGAGCTTCGTTCGCGAGACTCGAGACAGAGATTTTTTTTCAAAACGAAAGAGAAATAGTTATTTACGCGAGAGAAGCTTCACCAAACTTGGGTTTACAAGAAGAAAATTTCTCAAATTTGTCAATTACTTGTTAAATTA